AAATGTGGCTTCTGGGGAGAGACCAGCACAATTTTTTTTTTTTTTTTTTTTAGCTTCTCTCTTTTGTACTGTGGCTTTAGGAACAGCTTCATTGGACATGCTGTTTGAATTCTGTCTCTTAATCCTAATTATCTCTTATCTCCAGAAATCGGAGGCCTTACGGATGCAGTATCGCTACTTGGACTTGCGTAGCTTCCAGTTGCAACATAACCTGCGGCTGAGATCCCAGATGGTGATGAGGATGCGGGAATATCTGTGTAACCTGCATGGTAAGAGAAGTGCTTGAAGAACAGTGTGCAGCAAACGACAATTTAGCCCTCTTTTCTTTTGTTTCATAATGCTGTGAGAAATTACCAGTCAGTTTGCTGCTCCAAACTGGTCCCGCTTTGTAAAGACACGTCTGTTTGCAGTGGGGATGTTGGCAGGCCTGAAGAAAAAGGTTGAAATCTCTTAACGTGCTACAAACCAATTGTTGAAATGAGCTATATCCAGCGAGAAAAGGCCTTTTTCAGGTAGTTTTCCTCTTCTGGTCACCCAACTTGTGGCATGTCAAAGGGATGGGTTTCTTATGAGGCTTATCTTAAAATCAGGAAGTGTCTTTTGGAAAAGCAAAGCCTAGTTCAGAATGGATAGAGAATCAAGATTATTTTTTTTTCAGCCTATGTAGAGTGTCTGTTGTCAACAGTTCTGGCAGGACATCACAGGGTAGCTCAGAGCCTTTATATCTCTTTACAGACAGTCATTTGGCCTCGAAGCAGCAAAATCTGGATTTTGGAGAGGCTGCACGGTGTGCTAGGTGACCTGTTTTGCAGCCTAACCCTACTCTGTCACACTAGTTCTCCCTGCTCTCGGCATGTTCTGCGTCTGAAGCGTGTGTTTGTTCCTCAGGGTTTGTGGATGTAGAAACTCCAACGCTCTTTAAGAGAACCCCAGGGGTATGTATTCCGTTACAACCGGTGTAGCCGTCGGCGGTTCGCGGTTGAACTATCGTCCCTTGTCGCTCTGCCTGTGCTGCTGTTCCCTCGCTGAGTAGCAGCTCGGGGAAATTTGTGATAGGATACACGAATCCTTTTTAAAAGTAGAGGGAGGGGGTGAAAGGTGACATCTTGTGTCTTAATTTGGGACCTTCAAATGAATAAAGCTTCTGTCTTGTAGAATGCATGTTGAATGTAAGTCCTGTCCTGGAACAGCCAGGTTATAAAACCAAAAAACTCCTCTAAGCACTGTTTCCCCAGCATTTAGCTCTTAACTAGTAGGTGGTGCTACTCCAGGCATTTTAATTTCTGAGTTTGTAGTCCTTTCTTCCATGTGAAAAATAATCAGAAGAGAGCTGTTGCCGGGGAGTTGGGTGTATCTGACACATGGAGTTTTTGCATTTAAACCCCTGTCTTGGCTGGTGTATTGTTGTCAAAAGAAAAGGGTTAACAGTCACAAAACCTCTAGGTTTTTGCAACCAGTGGGCTTGTATAGGTAATAAATGAGGATGAGAGGGGATGGCCCCGGGGATGGGAGCTTGTCCCCAGGTCATCAGGCCTTGATCACACCAAACTGCTCTCAAACAAAGACAATAGAGTCTTGAGGGAAGAGAATGGCAAGTTTCTGCTTTTATATGTAAAGGTAGGAATGGTGGTTTATTCTTTGTTGTTATTTGATACTTAAGACCTGGCTGAGGCTGAGCTCTCAAAAGGTGTGCCAGCTTTGTGGAGTTACCACCCAGCACCCATGACAGTAAACACACCTCTTGCACTGTGTGAAGAACTCAGATTTGGGACATTGTCATGCCTTAGTCCCTCCCAGCAGGAGGTGGAAAACCCTTCTTCGGGACGTTTTGGACTAAATTGATTAAGTTTCCTCTAAGCCTGAGGAAATGGCTGGTTGCACATTACAAGTAGGATTTCTTAATGGGGGAAAATAGGTTCTTTCCTCTTGTGCTTCTGCTGTGTTGTTACCTTGGAATTTGTAGATTTAATTCTGCAGAATAGCTGTGTCTGAGACTGTAATTGCCTGCTGCAGAATCCAGTCTCCCAGTAATGATCCCCCCAGTTCCTACATGGGATGTGGGATTGAAGTCCTGTATATGTTTAACCTAGTTGCAAAAGGGTCCAAGGTGTTAATACTAGATTGGGTTCAGCAAAGCTCAGTGGTGAAAACATTCCTGTGGTGGGAGTAAAAGATGAAGGAAGGTGTTTTTCAGCCTATTGAAAACTCTAATTACCTTGGGAAGGGTTAGGGTTCTGTTTGCTGCAATTCCTAGTGAATTCTGAAAAGATGGTGCATTTCAGTAACTTATTTGACATCCTACTTTTTACTTGCTGTGCTGACCTCTCTTGCTCTAAAGTTCAGTGTCTCGGACTTTTTGCCTGGGAATGGAAGAAAGTGTGTAGAAGTGGTGTGAAAAATGACTCGGATTAGGAAGCACATGCACTGATGATGTTTAATTTTAGCTCGTACGGTCACTTGTACTTTGAGATGAGTGCTCAGAAAGTCTCAATTCTTTCCAGTTTCTGTCTGGAATATACTTTTATATCCTCCTCCTTACAGAAGATGGGAGTCTTTTTGGGGTTTGGTGTCCTTTTCAGCTGTGCAGAAGGCTCTCTTCATGTATTGGGTATTTCCTTCCCTTGCAGCAGAGTAAACTCCTGCTGCTAGGCCTGAACTCTGACACCAACAGAGGGTAAAGCCCAGATCTTGTACAACCTCAGTACAAGTGACCAAGCAGTCAAGATGTATTTATGCAGCAGTAGATTAGGTGAAAGAAACAAAACTGCTCTTTCACAGGGTCTAGAGAAAAGATTATTCTCTGCTAGATCAGGGGCTGATGTGAACAAAAGCACCCAGCCCAAACTCATGCCTAGCTGGCCTACAGTTGCTAGGGCAGAGGTCCAGACCTGAAACACCAGCTGCTGAGTTGTACCATATTTAGCTTGGCTGCCTGTAGAAATGAGGCAGCAATTCCATTGCCCTTCTCAAAAACTTTTCAATCCCTTTGATTTCCCTCATACTCAAGTCCGGGGCAAAGATCTGGAAAACAAGAAGTTCCTAAGGTGAAGTAAAAGAATCCATAGGAGGAAGGAATGCGATCGAATTTGAAGGATTTGCATTGGTTATCAGGTGGGATGACCGTAGGAAACAGCTTGTCGCTAGCATGGGTGCTCAGATATAAAGCTCAGGTGAACTTTTCTTCAAAACCCATTTGTTATCACTGACAAACTCAATGGTTTTGCCATTCCATATCCATTTGTAGCATCTTGAGCAACAGAAAGAGCTGAGCCTTCTGAAAGAGAAGGGAAAAAATGGCCTAAACACCAGTGACTTTTGGAAAGCAGCATCTCTCTGTGGTGTGCTGGGTATATTCAGGTCAGATGGGGGAACTGAGGCTACTTATTGGCTGAACTGTGTAAGCTGTTCTCTTTGATGCCAGGGAGCAAAAGAATTCCTTGTGCCCTCGAGGGAAGCGGGCAAGTTCTACTCGCTGCCGCAGAGTCCTCAGCAGTTCAAGCAGCTCCTCATGGTTGGAGGCCTGGACAGGTAAGTGTGGTTTTTTGGTCTCCTGTTCTCTTTGTGTCCTATCCAGGGTTTGCTTCCTTTGATCGGTGAAGTTGGAGAGAGGTCTTCCTCAAGAATGTACTGCTAAAGATTTTGTGTTTTGAAGAGATATCCTTAAATACACAGGACTTTTCAGCTAGGCCAGACCCTTGTCCCCCAGCAGTAATGCCTCCAGTAAGAGGACGTATCCTGTTTGAAAATTGAAGTCTCCACTGTTGTTTTAAATGGAAACCTGAGTGTGCCTGAAGGGGAGAAAATCTAGGGTGTGCTAAAAGTAACCTATAGAACCTATTGAGATGAAGCTGGGCAGCTGAGCTGGACCGAGGCAAGGAAAGCATCTTCTTGGGTACATGAGTACAAAGCTTCTGACTGGGCTTGTTCCTCCAAATAGAACTGAAGGAGAGGGAGACAGTTGTTGATGCGGTGCACTGCAGGCCAGGTCTTCACCATATGTGCCTTTTGCATGGCTCTTAGATCCTCTGCAGGTTCCAGGTTTGGAGCAGAAGGCGGGGGAAAGGGGTTGTGTATGTCCCTGTTGGGACACAGCTCACCCCGTAACCTCCACATGCCATGGTTGGAGAGGGATACAGCTGCTTCCCCTACACATCCCATGCCTTTGAGGGGGTGGGAGCAACTGGGGCTGTGATCATCTGCTGCAAAGGGAACAGACCTCTTTTTTTTTTTTTTTTTCTTCTTTCTTCTGGTCAGCTCTACAGTCATGGTGTAATTTACTCAGATAACGATTTACAGTAACCTAAGTGTCTATTGCAGGTACTTTCAGGTTGCTCGCTGCTACCGAGATGAGGGTTCGCGGCCTGACAGGCAGCCTGAATTCACTCAGGTAACCAGCTTGCCCAACTCTTCAGCCTCCTCCTCACCCCAAACTGCTTGTAGCTGTTTTGCCTTTGAAGGCTTGCTTTCTGCTAGTGCTTGTGGGGCTCAGGGGGTACGCTGTTTGCTGCGTGTGTCACAGAAGTTAGTGTGGGAGACGTTACTGTCCTTGGATGACTGTGCAGTCCCCGGTGCAGTACGTATGGGAATTGTGTTGCAGCAGTGACTCTGCTTGGTGATGCAATCACCTCCTGTCCTCCTGGGTCGGGCATGCCCTTCCTCTGCCTTCAGTTAGGCAGTTAGCCTGGTTCATTCAAGGCTTCTCCTTCTGTCCTTGTCATCATTTCCTCATTCGGTTCTCTGAGGAGATCGTATCCTGAGTCATCAGGCTGTAGGGAGATCGTAAGCACACCCTCGGCCTCATGCAGTCATCCTGTGACTTAACATAGTACATGGTTTCTTCTCACGCTGGTTTTATGGTCAAGAGCTTCTGCAGGTACCAGTGCAAAGGCAAAACCCGTTCCAAATATCCCCCCTTCTTGTTTTCTCTTTTAAGATAGATATAGAGATGTCATTTGTAGATCAAGCTGGGCTCCAGAGATTGATAGAGGGCCTCCTGCAGTATTCCTGGCCTGAGGAAAGAGGCTGCATTACGACTCCTTTCCCTTCCATGACATACGAGGAGGCACTGGCTGATTATGGGACTGATAAACCAGATACTCGTTTTGGAATGAAGGTGAGGGTTTGGCCCATTGGTAATCTGCAGCTTCTCCTTTCTGTTAGTGATTTAATAATGTTTTCTTGGATCATGTTTATGTGATTGGCTGGGGTTCTTACTGCTGTGATTTAGCCAGCCTGTCTGTCCCATCATCGCTGCTTTGTGCAGGTAATCACTTCGTGGGGAAGAGAGGGTTTCATTATTTGGCTGTGGGAAAATATGTTTTATTAAAACTTTCTTTTAAAAATACTGTAGTGTTAGGAAGCAGGACTGTCTTAGGAACAGAAGCCTGTAAGGCATCTGTGGATAGCATAACTGCTTTTGCCTGCTGCCCTTGTGCTGAGCGTGTTTCACGAGACGGGCTTCTCCAGCCTTTTAGCGGCCTGAAGATGCCTCAGGAGGACCAGCTGCAGTTGTGTGCATGTGCTGGTTGTATATGAAATAAGAGTATTGATAGATGTGTTAAGAGGGACAGTGCTGAAAAGCAAGACAGCATCTTGTTTTCCCAGGAATTAACTCCAGGGGTTTCTCTCTCAGCATGCAGCTCTCTACTGCAGCAGCATGTCACCATCTCAACTTTGGGCTTTTCCTCAAACCCAACTTTGGGGTTTCCCTGGCTGTCTTGCATTTCTGTTTCTACGGGGTTCAGCTTCCTAATGGTTATTCCAGCTTGGCCCTGTTCGTTTCTTTGTGAACCACTTGATTTCACTGAACAGAGAAATGATGTCCCAGGGAATGGTGTTGAAAGTGTTAAGTCGCAGGTGCAGGATTTTTGCTTCACATTCCTACCACTGCTGCCTTTTCCTGTGATGTTCTCTTCTTCAGATAGTGGATATCAGTGACTTCTTACAGAGATCAGACATCCGGTTTGTGCAGGATGCTCTCAGCTACCCACGTGGTGCTGTCAAAGCCATTCGTATTCCTCAGGGCATGGTAAGTGATAGTTTTACATACTGCTTGCGGTTTATTTGAAATAAATAAAATGCCAATTTGAATTCCTTCATTGATACGGAAATATTCCTTGCTGTTCCTGGGTGAGTAGTGTCCTTCAGGGATCTTGGAATTGGTTGTGATTGACGTCAGGTTGGGCTGAGTGGTGTTAGAAGAGGGGGAATGGAGACGATCAGGCAGTGGGAAGAATATATTGTTCTGAGGAAGGGGTGGAAGAAAACGGAGCTGCAACATCCCTTGAGGATAGGGAAGCATCTCTGGGCATCAGCGTGCTTTTGTCAAGGATGGTTTCTGATTTGCATCTCGATGATAAATTGTGCCCTGTGGCGAGAGATTGAAATAGAGCACAGCTCTGTTCTGGGCTAGTGGGAGACAGGTCAGGGGGTTACAAGCCCTTCTCGTGGTGGCTTTTGCTGCATTTGTGCGCACAACACGTGTCTCATAATGAGAATGTCATGGACAAAGGCTGACAGCAGATGTGGAACACTGACACAGCTGTGTGTTTTGGCAGGGAAGTAGCATTAATTCTGGCTGTGGTCATCTTTGCAGCTTGGGCAGTATGGGGAAAAAAAAAGAATCTGCTAAACACGAGTTTTATTTGGGAGTAGGACTTTCTGGCCATGGTTTCTTTTGGGATTCCTTTTAATTTTGGCACAAAATGCAAGTTACTAGCTTCCCACGAGAGGGCACCAAGGTGTGTGAGCAATACGAAAGTGGAATCTTGAGCCTTTCTAGGCATTAGAGTAGCTGAAAAAAATCAAGATCTTGACGCAGGTCCTCAGTGACTGCATTTCCTTGCATGTGAGAGTTGGCCAGCGGGTTTCCCTCTGTTCCTCCACACTGAGCTATGCCTTCCCCATCAACAGCGTGTTACAACTTTGTTCCTGCACGCTGGAGGCAATCAGTTGGTGTAATCTAACTGCTGAGCAGCTACATCTGATCTGTGAGCAGGGAGAAAAAACTGGAGCCAGATGTACAACCTAGAGGGGCCTCTTCCTGCAAGGAGCCCTTGGAGAAGACACCCAGCTGCAGCCTCGTGCTGTGAGCCCTGTCCTGTTCCACAGCCCTCATAAGAACTTGTACTGGACACAAAACTTCATGGTTGGAAACAGCTCAGTCAATAAATTCGAACCCTAATGGTTGGGCTTTCCCTATATTTTACTGATGTTTTAATGTATTTCCTCTTGTTCTTTCCCCAGAGATATCTTAAAAATAAAGATTTGGAGTCATTAAAGGAGTCTGCAAAATCCCAGTTTAACCAGGTGAGACAGCAGTGCTGCTGAGGCATTGGCAACGGTGAATGACACACTGTGTATAAAGGCACCTGCAGGCAGAGAAGGTAGAAGAGCTTTTTAATAGCAGACTCGGCGTCTGAGCATGTGATGCTTTAAGGCAAGAGAGGGCAGCACGGGACTGAACATGCTCTTATCTTTAGGAAATCATGCAAGTTATCTGCAGGCCTGATGGAAGCTTGAAGTCTCTGCTTACAAAGTTTCTTGGTGAGAAGCAGCAGTCGGAGCTTATCCAGGCGCTCAACATGCAGGTGGACGATGTGGTACTGCTGGCAGCTGGTGAACACAAGCAAGTGGTAGGAGGCGTTTCTTGGGTGGCTGTTGTGAGTTGAATGTTGCTGATGATAGCTTTTATCTGACCTTTGTCTAATTCGTCTTAAAATAAGTCATCATCTAATTCTGTTTCTCTGGAGCTGAAGCTATAGCAACAGCAAATAATGCATGAAATGTACCTATTGCTTTTATTTCCCCCAGGCAAATTCTGGGAAGAACTCATAACTGAAACGGGGGGTGGAATATAAAGCAGAAACAAATCAGTGCCTCCTTTTCTCTCACCTTAACTTAATTTTTAAAGCATCAAACAGATTGGAAAACAAGGTCAGCTAGATAATTTTGTCTCCTGTAAGCAGAGGAGTGAAGCAGAGCTGCTAATTAGCAGTAGTGATGGGAGATTCTGTCCCTACCCTTCTCTGTGTTCTTGCCAGCGGATGTAGCCTTCCTGCCATTGGTTTATGACAAGGTGTCCTGCTTTGCTTGCTAGCCAGAATTTTGTCATATTCTCTTTCCATGCCTTTGTTTCTCTGCTGCCAAGTGTAGCTCTTACCTGTGCTCCCCCAGTTAATCCACATTCGTGTAGATCTCTGTTAGCCTAGGGGAGTTCTGTGAGGATGGCACAACTGGAAGAAAATAAGCCTTCCAGCTTCTCTCTGGTCTTTCTTTGCCAAACCCTGGAGCTGCTGCTGCCGCCTCAATTTGGGAGACAAGGTGAAGGTGTTTAAAGCAACAATGCTGTCTCTGAAACACTCTTCCCTTGGTCAGCGTTGAATGACTTCCCCATTAGTCAAATCTCCCCACCTCACTCTCTCCCTTCCCTTTTGCAGTGCACTGCATTAGGAGCCCTGCGGCTGGCGACCGCTGACCTCCTTGAGGCAGCTGGGCTGGTACTCCGTGATCCTACAACTTTCCACTTTCTGTGGGTAGTGGATTTTCCCCTTTTCCTCCCCAAGGAAGAGAATCCCAGTGAACTGGAATCTGCTCATCACCCTTTCACTGCTCCTCATCCTTCCGATACCAGCCTCCTCTATTCGGATCCCACCAAGGTAACTAACCATGCTGGCTCTCTCCCAGCTCTGTGGCCTGGAAAACTGGGCAGGTTGCATCCCTTTTTACAGTAAAAAGGGATGTTGTTTCATGGAACTGACTGCATATTGTATGTATCTGTTTGGAAAAGATGGCTTCCACATTACTGAATGGTGAATATCCATGTGTGCCCCTGACAGAAGGGGCTTATGGGAAGCAGGAGTCTTACGTTCTGACCCATCCCATGTTACTTCAGGTTTTAATCAACTTTACAAATCGATTTTTACTGTTCCCACCTCTGTCAGCATCAGTCCATGGGCCTGACAGGGCTGGTACCTGAACTGCAAGGTACCACTGAGAGCAGTGTCGTAGTATGTTGTGTCTTTGCTGGCTGTGTGCAGGTTGGTGTTGAGTGGAGCTGTACCCCAGCCCCCCTGAGGTGCTCCTTCACTTCTGCCTGCAGGTCCGTAGCCAGCACTATGACCTTGTGCTGAACGGCTGTGAAGTTGGAGGTGGCTCCATCAGAATTCACAGCGCAGAACAACAGCGTTTTGTCCTGGAGGAGGTGCTGAAGGTAACCCCTACGGATCTCTAACATTCTCTTGGAGAGTTAAAGGACTAATTGAAATCTCTTTCAAATTCTGAAAGAAACGCTCGTGTGCTTCTCAGATAAACGTAACTCGTAGCCCTGAGTGATGGATGACTTCATCATACCTTCATCTTACCTTGCTAGTAGAAAGAGCGTTGCTTGTCCAGTGACGCTTCGTATGCAATTTTGCAGGAGGATTCTGAGGTGCTTTCCCATCTGCTTGAGGCTTTGGAGTTTGGAGCTCCACCTCATGGAGGAATCGCTTTAGGTGAGTGCTCTGTAGCTCTCCAGGAGGCCAAAGATAGCATTTTAACCTGTGATCCTCTGGTGTGATTTCCTTCCATCCAGTCACCCAGAGGCTCTTGTTCTTTTAAAATTCCTCCTAGCTGTAATCCTTCAGAACTGGTTGATCAAGAGCTTTGAGCAGTCAGGCGGAGCCCTGACAGCGTTCCTGCCACTTCGCTGCCCTGGTTGTGTGATGCTGCTTTTGCAAAGGCTCTGTCTCTGCCCTGCAGCCCTTGGTGTGTTGCAGAACTTTCTGTAATGTTGAGAAGCTTTATTGTGCTGGGTATTTCTGCTCTTTAGGCGAATCTGCTTCTCTGCTACTGGTTGAGATTAATTTTTTTCTCCCCTCTTTCTTGCTTCAGTTTTATTCTTCAAGCTCTGTGATATTATCTACTCCATCTTTCTGATTTTACTGAGTCAGAATAAATAATACAGGGCCAAAACTCAAGTGGTTCACCAATTTGTTTTCCTGCTTCTAGGACTTGACAGGCTGATCTCTCTCATCGTTGACGCTCCAAGTATCAGAGACGTCATTGCTTTTCCTAAATCCTTCAGGGGACGGGACCTGATGGGCAACGCTCCGAGCTATGTCACTCCAGAAGAACTAGAGCCATATTGCATCCAGGTTTCCTGGCCTCTTGCAGAAAAAGAGGCAAAGCAAAACTGACTTCAGACCAGTGACGTAAGCTGATGGGTTTAACCAGAGGTGGTTACAACTTCTAAATACTGCGGTTCAGATTGGAAAACATCAGCTGTTACGAGAGGGTGGGGGGCAGTGCAACCCCGCTGTACCATGGCTGTTCCAGGATTGAATGGGAAATAGATACAAGGGTTCCTCAGTAGGAATTCACCTTTGGGCTGGTAATGGGAAGGAGAAGAAGTAGAAAAAGCAAAAGGAAAGAATATAATTTTAGCATGGGATATTGAGAATGTTGGCTTTGGGGTGTCATAGTGGAGTGATGATGGGATCTAACTCTTTCACACCCCTCTTTCCTTGTCCTTTGTCAAGTATTTCTTGTCCCAGCTGGAGGAGATAGTGTCATCCAGAACTTGCCACAGGGAATTCATATTCCGTTGTGTTCTCTCTTCAGGGGCTGGGAGCAAAGTGTTTTCATCACTTGCAACAGTCGCTATAGTAATACTTGTCAGACAGGAGATGTTCTGTCTCTGGGGCCTGTGGTCCTGCTGTTTTCCTGAAGTTTGTATGTTTGTAAATAAACTTTACCTGGTGATGTGCTTTTGACTGAGCTTGGCTTTGGGCTTTCTCTACAAGAAGAAAGAGCTCCCTGTTCTTCTATGATCCCTGATGCCTCTAGGAGATGACAAGAATTCGGTGACAGCATAGCAGGATTGCTAGTCCTCTGAGTTCTGCCTGGTCCTGCAAACCTGCTGCTGTAGCAGGGAGTGATGCAGCAGCACATTCCATGTTCCCCGCAAATAACAGTCTCTTTATCCCTGTCCCACAGCAGAACAGCCACGGGGCAGGAGCGACGTTCTACCGGGAGAGCACAGATCCTGTCTGGCAGATATAAATGGATTCTAGGCCCCTCCAAGGGCCGTCAGCTAATTAAGTCTCTGTTGGTGCACACTGTTGGTGTTTGTAAATACTGGGCTGTCTTGTTCATAAGAAACAGGAAGGGAGGTGGCTCTTCTCCTTAGGGTTGTGCTTTTGAGTACTTTATATGTAACAGTAGAGCTGACGTGCAGCTGCTCTGCAGATTATAAAATGATGGAGCTAGGAGTGTAAAAGAAGACTTAAATCCTTTCTTAGCCCATGTTATGATTAGCAGTCTCAGAGCATGGTTAAATACCGGTTAAAAAACTGAACACAAGCCTGGATTTGTATTCAAAACACAGTGTTTGTGAATGAATTAATCCATTTTTTCCTTGTATGAGCTATTCAATCTTACCTTGACATGAATTCACCTTTGGTTTACTATTTTTTTTTTCCTGAGTAGAAGCTGTCAGTAATGGAGTGAAGATCAGTTTTCAGAGAGAATTTTCAGAGAAAGTTGGATCCCTAAGCAGATCTGTCTTAAACAATCCTTAAGGGTTTTGTTTTGTTGTTGCTTTTTTCTGGGAGGGAGTCATCTTGTGAGAGTTACAGCAGGTATTTTTGTTCCCATAACTTGTAGTGTTGATGTGGAGTAGAGCCACTGCAAGGCTATGTATTATATTCAGACTGGGGTTTTTGAATTATTTTAGAGGACACTGGATTTTCGTTGTTTAGTTTCTTTACTGGTAGCGAGATTAAGAATTTGCTTGAGGGTTGTGTATGTTCCTAAAAGCAGAGATGTCAGGCTTGTTGAGGGCATGGAATCACAGAAAATAACAGTTTTTCAGCGAAGTTCTTCACTCCCACCACTGCTGTTTGTCGTAACTGTAAAGGTAATGTGCTGAACTCTTTAATGGTGAAATAAGGAGTACTGTATCATTAGTAACTCTTTGCAAATGCTGTTTTACATCTGAAGAGACCCAGTTCTTAGGTTTATTATCGAGCATTCAAAGGGTAACTGGTGCTCTAAGAGGCTTAGGCAGAAATGTAACACTACCTGGAACATTCTTCACCGGAGCACTTGTTAAGGCTACCTGGCACATTCTTCACCGGAGCACTTGTTAAAGCATGCGAGCAAGCTGTCTCTGAGGCACACGCATCCCTCTCTCCTTGCGCAAGCTGCTTTGTGTGATGTTTGTTTGCCCACTGCTATATTAAGGACTCGCTGCAGTGGTAAGTGTGACACGGCTACGATTAGCTACAGTGAAGAAAAGGCAACAAAACCTGTCATCCAAGCTGCTGCGGTCCTGTCGCCGTTAGGTCAGCGGAAAAGCTGTATCCCAAATTTATGTGAGCCACCTGTGCTTGGGTTTGTGAATGGAGGTGGCTTACAAGTGTGTGAATTTGTCAGTGGTTTGTGTGGATGTTGCCACAGAAAACAATCGTTTTGAGTTTTTGTAGAGTGTTGCATAAGGTTTCACTTAAGCCTGAGCTACAGAAAGTCCCTTTTAAACCAGTCTAGTTCTGTCTGTTTTGACAGAAGCAGGAGTACATGGACATTATTGAGGAATAAATGGAGATGAGGGACAGTCATACTGCAGACCAGTATCTCATGTCTGCTGGATAAAAGCTGCTGGCCTGTGATCCTGAAAAAAGATGTTAAAACCAACACTCCCGTGCCCTGTCCATGAGGAACGCCCGCTGAGAATGAGCTTAAAAAACAGGGCATTACTCCTTCCTTTCTCCATATGAGACAAATCTACGGAGAAGTTTTGCCGTGCTAGAAGGTGCAAAGTCCCCGACTCCTCTGGTAAGAGTTAATTTTTGTTTGGGGTGGGTTGCGTAAGGAAAGGTTGGTGAATCTCTTTGCTGCAGGGTTTGCTTTTTCTTTCCCTTCCCTGTGCAGCAGTGGTCTCCAGACCGACAGAGTAAGCCGGTTCATCACCCACCAAGAGTCCAGAGTCCTTGGGAGAGCCTTTCTGCTGTTCCTTTTTGTCCAAAGAGCAAGCAGTAGTACAGTTAGTATACACAGGCACCTCCCTGTGTTGGAGGTACTAACGAGACTATCGGCTGTCACCAGAACTGCCCCCCCATCCTGCAGTACGTATGCATGTAAAATTAGTGACAGGACCCCTAACAGAACTATCTCCAGATCCCTGTGGTGATTCCCACGTGCCATCCTCACTCCCCTGCTCTTTCAACCTCTTCTCAACATGCGTGTGATGGGCGAGAGGATTGTCTGGCATCTGGCTGCACTCCTCGGAGCAGTTGGCTTTGTTGGGAATAGAATTGCAGGGGGACACGGGGGTCCCACCTGAGGGTTTGGTGTGGGTCTTTGTTGGTGTGGATCCGCTTGTGATGGTTGGGTGCGCTCTGTTCCAGAGAACGGCCGTGGGATGTGAGCGTTAGGCTTGTGCAAGAGTTGTACGTAAAGCCTCTGTGCTCCTTAAACCTCTCCAGGTTGCTGATTTTCTTCTCTTAGATCTGAACAGAACACTGGGATAACGGAGAGACAGTTGATTCCCCGTGTGTAGGGGAACTGGCTCTGTGAGTCTTTCAATAGATTTGACTGGAACAACCCTCTGGGAAGTTTATGCTGCTCGTTTGTAACATCAGAGAGAAGTTTCTGATATGTCTTAGTATTTTTTTCCCTCTTCTGGAACAGGAATGTAGCACTCAGATTCTCTGGAGCCAAAGTGTGGGTTTTACATCTCTGAAAAGGGTTCTAAGCCTATCCAGAATGTGTCGGGGTGGGGGGGGAGACCTCAGTGTTTGATTTCAGCCATCCTAGATGGCTTGGGTGGGTTTGGCTGCAAGGGTCTTTGTACAAACCCCCAAAGACAGGAACTGTTTTCAGAACTCTTGGGGGTTTAATCCCCTGTGGTGTTGGTGTTTTAGCTAAATTACCAATACAATACAACTTCACAGCACCTTTGTGTAATCCCGTGCTGCAGGGATGCTGGTGGGTTTCCAGGTCCGTTTAAATTTTTGGGATGCTGATGGGTCTCCATGTCTGCTTAAATTTTCGGGGTGCTGGTGGGTCTCCAGGTCTGTTTATATTTTTGGGTTGCTGATGAGTTTCCAGGTCTGTTGAAAACAGGCCACTGCTGTAAGAAAATACTATAATTCATACCAAGTCAACAGGAATTTACCAGGAATGGTTTCAGCTCTTTGCAGCACTCTAGGTTGGTCCCCACTCTTTTACCCCATGGATAAAAGAGGGGAGCTACTGCCCTATACCTTATACTCCTTGGCCCACGTCTTACCACCAGCAGAGAAGGGGTAGGCAACCAACAGCCACCTAAACGCTACTAGATGGGCATCCCCTGCCCGAGCTTCACCTGACTTCACCTCTCAGTGTTTGGGCTCTTATTCTAGGCCTGTCTTCTAATCTGTTGGTGTTGGGTTTTTTTTCCCAAAGCATTGTTTTATGTAATTAAAAAAACGTTGATTACATGCAGTCACCAGCTGCGCCAGCCTGAATTTCACAGCAAACAGAGCTCTGCGACGGATCAATTCAGCCTGGAACGGATGTGTTTGCCTCTAATAATCCATCAGGCTCCAGCTTTCTTGTTACACGTGAACAGTCTGTGTTTACTGCAGCGCTGAAGTAGAGTCATTGAAAAGTGTTACGGACAGGGACTTTGGTCATATTTTAAAGGTATTTCCGTAGCCGCGAGTTCTGCTGTTAAATTATGTGTTATCCTATGAAGTGCTGCCCCTTGCTTCGCTTACGTCTCTCCTCTGACCGTGTCATGACGTGCTTCCCCGCTGACGTTAGAAGGAACGAATGTTCAAGTTCCGTTTTGCCCAGCATTTCCCAAACTCGTATCCTCTGGTTTTCACTCGCGTCGCTTCCGAGCTGTGGAGTTTTGGGCAGTTTCACCCTCCCTCCTGTGGAAATCGCCGCATACCGCCTGTGACCTTCTGTGCACCCCTTCTTGGCTGAAGCGGCCACAAGTTGATGCTCTTGTAGGTTATTTGGAGTATTGCCCCCCGCCCTGGCACCGTCTGTTATGGTTTGTATTTATTAACCTTCACTTTCTGCTCTGTGCTGTGTAAAGGTACTAGATAACTTTTTTTGCTGCAAAAAACTTGTATTAATCATGTATTTCAGTTACTGTTTAAAAAAGACAAGTTATCAGCAAGATCACAAAGTAGCTAAAAAAGGA